ATAAGTTTTGTAATGCTCTTTTTGTCACGTCCAATCCATCCGGAGCCTGATGACATTCCTGCTGCACAGTTAAAGTCTACTGGGTTTGCTTAAGACTCACGACTGTTATCAAGGTGTGCTTTCTTGCTCGGGTAAGCTGGGCAAGCATCAGTTCCCTTGTTGCGGCTAAACGATCCGATCGATCGACAAACGAACCTCATCGGTTGTGAGTTTTGGGCCGGCACAGGGGAAGATAAGTTTCGTATGAGATGCTGCTTAAGTCTTGGTAGAGAATCATCACAAGGAAATCAGTTGTGGAGCGATGCGCCATGTGGGAAATTCTGAATTAAAAATTCAAGCGATGATGACACTGGGCCAACGCTTGACTCGTCTAAAATACACAGTACTTTTCGACTCGGGTTCCTTAAACAGATAATCATATTCCAACTTTGAAAATTGTCTTGATAACGTACAACAATATCCTCCGATGTAGGCTCATGCAAAAGTCTTCTTAGTTTTTTCCCAACTGGCTGTTTGCGCGCTGAACGATCTCGATAAATACATCGTAGATAGAAATGCGAAAGAAAGGGAAAACAAATATTATAAAAGAATGCATAATTATTTCTTGAAATTTGTTCAATATGTTTTTCATTCTGCTGCTCGCATAGCAAAATCCGGTGATGATAGTTTTCTTCCACCTTCAGAATTGTAGTAGTTGGAGTACTTTTGCCCTTCACCAGAATTATATGTTTAAGCTCCTCCATCGTTCTCAGTGTCCGGGACTAAACGGATCACTGTGATAGAATAGGCTCTTCTGCATCCGTTTTGTCTGATCCCATTTAAGAATCCATCCATAATGTGAGGTCCTACAAGATGTCCTCAATTATTACCACATTTGCGTTTGCTAAGACCCGTGGTACCTTTGGCAGTTCCTTTGGCTGAGCCCTTGTAAGTAAGTATGCGGTCTTCTATTTGGTACCCGCACTTGCGGTTCATCGGGGACGATTTTATTCGCCCTTTAGTGGCGCTCCACACTAGGTCTTCTCGGGATAGTAGCAGATCCCTATCCAGTGGTTTATTAAACTTTACTATTATGGGTCTGACGGGCGCCAGCGGTGCCTTCGGGGGTGGTGTTTGGCGGAGCCCCGGTTAGCCTAAGTATGTCGCAGACTCTGCTCCTGTCCAGTTCCCTACGGGCTTTTGATTCTCTTTTATCCGGCTCCTCATTGTTATGTATGAAAAGGTTACTTCGAAGTGCCCCTGTGGGGCTGCGTACTGCAAGGAGTCCACTCACTTGCTCTTGGAGCCCAAAGTTTAAACTATCCTTTTTACCTTAAGATATGATATTTCAACCGACTCCAGGCTTAGACGCTCGGTGTGGCTTATTGAGGATTGCACACTGACTGGCCTTGGGGTTTACCTCACGGAGCGGCTTATGCAGCGGTGTGGATACCGCCGCTACCCTCCAGGTCCTAGATAGCTGAGGTAGGGGGTCCGTTCCTCAATATGGTCCGAGATGCAAACGCATGTAGTCAAAGTGGTGGATAAAATCGCGCCCAACAACCATTGCCAATGCCAAATTATCCACTGCGGGTGCAGACCCCATGCCTTCATCAGGCCCAAACCAACCGGGTCTGGAACAGGAAGGCGAAATTCGACAGTCTGGGGTAAAACCAAGTTAAGGAGGGAAGAGGGAGCTAACTTTGCTGCCTTACCCATGACATTTCTTGAGGCCGCTATTACCATAGCCCAGTTCTGATCTGAACGCCTTTCGCTGCGCTTAATAATCAACATATCTGGAATATGACTGTGAATATCCCAATTAATCACATCACATATCCTGGCTATATGCAAACAGAAAAAACCATCACGCATAAAAATACACTTCGTTTCCCCTGCGGTAACTACTCTATGATCCTTGCCCTTACTACGCGCTATCATGAAGAACCCTCTCTGGTGAGCTATTCGCTCATTCTTATATGACTTCCAATAATAATATATTTCGCGCAAATGATGTTACTCGTATGAGAAACGGTTTAAACGATTGCATCCCGCTGGTGGTCAGATACCCCCTCATAGAATCTTTAGCAAGGCGAATTCCACGCGTCACATCTAGTGACCGTACTCGTTGTAGCACTTTCTGAAATGCATCAACTAATGAAGATGGAGAAGATAAGCTTGTCTTGAGGTGCCTATTTTCCGTCTCCACTCAGGTGGTAGTTAGCCTTCCTGAAGTCCACCTAGTCCTCAAGGCATACCCTGCCCACTGCTCTCGGTATGATAACTACGTTCGGCGAAAATAAACACCTATTTTGTGCTACGGCGTTCTACTGAACGATCAGTCACTAACACACTACACCACGTTCCACATCCATTGAAAGATGCACTGCTGAACGTTGGCATAAGAGATGGTTGTTTACATGTTTTCTTCATATTCACAACCAGATGGAAAACACAAAATACCACATTAGAGAGAGGAAAATATTCTGAAAACACTCTATACTGAGCCAAGCTACGATCAACTACTATAGTCTTGCATCGTGCATAGGCTAGGCACATAGCTGTCATGGCTCCCACGAAAGATCTCTAGCTCTCACCATTCCTACTCGGTAAGATAGTGTAGAAGAAACTTCTACCCTAACTGGTGTCGTCTACAAGCATAGCATGCTAAAGCAAGTACCCGCCACAGTTTACCTGGTGCGTGGCGCCCGCTAAAAATCATCAATAAACCTGGGAACGCAGTATACCATAATCTTAGGAACTAAATGGAACTAAATAAATGTGACGAACGACTCCTTCGTTCAGTTCTACTTTAACCTGTCCCTGATTCTTCAGCATATCCCTATTTAGACTCGACGTACCCATAGTAGGCTTTGGGCGAGCTCTGCTTTATTGACCAGATAAAGCTCAAAACCTCTTTTGGCATCCAGGAGGATGGCGTTGAAAGACTTCCGCTCCTACAAGCACTGGATGTCTACCTGTGGCACAGAGCTTCTTCCACGCGCTACACTTTCTAACCAAGGCATTTTATCATTCGGCTGCACCACCAAGATAATAATATTAAAAGCTGTATATTTTACGAAGCCCCGGGAGCAATGCACTAGCATAATGATATGTACAACACATTCATATGTACGAGACGAGCACAGGAAAAGAATTGATAGTCACGGTGCACTGGTGCATAGAAGGTAGGGAGTAAAGAAAAAAGCTTAGCTGGGTTGAACGCAGCAATATAAATGGAACACAAAGCGGACAAGATCACTGAGGGAAATGTTGGGGATAGCAGAGTGCTCCAATAAAGCAAGTCAATAGAAATTTGAACAAAATACGAATCTTTATACCATATAAAAGGCGAGTTGCTTGAACGTGTAGCGATCAAAGAATAAAAAAGAAGGAATGGTGGCGGAACAATAAACGGGAATCTTCAATCTTCAATTTTTAAGGGCAGTGTCAGGTCCCTTATTAGCCCCATCTCACTGTGCTCCACTGGGAAGATTAGGTGTTGATACCATACCAGTGCTCTTTCATTGCTCTGTCGAGTTTTCGCCTGAAGATGCTGTCGTTTGGCTTTTCCACCACGTCCTCTGGAAGTGCTTCCCAGAGATTTGTCATTCTCCTCAACAGACGATAGATGAAAGGCAGACCGTTTGACTGCATCTTGCGGAGCGCCATTGCGTGCCCCCTGATGCGGTTGTTGTTCCTCAGGAGCGGGGGGTCCCAACTGTAATTCTGGGCCGAAGTCACCCTGGATGATGCGCCTGGTTTACATCAGGTCTCCTCTCAGTCGTATGTAGAACATGGGAAACAGTCCCGATGCACTCAGTCGGCCCTCGTAACTGATCCCACGTAGTTCCTCGACGAGGTGTGTAGCAGCCCTCTGAACTCTCTCCAGTTAGGTAACCTCAGAAACCGTACCAGGAAAGACTACTGGATCGCCATATCCCAATATAGGGTGTCAGTGAGAGGTATACAGCAATTTGAAGGCCGACAGGGTTAACGGACAAAACAAACGGCGGATAGAACCCAACATACTCCACATATAGACACACGTTGTCTGTCNTCTTTGAACGAGTTTCCAGGTTGCTGGTGACGAAAAGGCCCAAATCTCGGTCCTCAGTTGACTGCCGGAGTACGGTACGTCCAAGTAGGTAGCCGGTGGTGAGACCTTGTCCTCCTATCCTCAGGTGGGCGCACTCAGAGATATTCGCCGGTAGCCCCCATACACTCGACCAGTTCATCAGAGCGTTCAGGTCATCCTGAAGAGACAGCTGGTCCGCCTCTGTCCGAATTATTCGCCAAAGCTTGAGGTCGTCTGTACAGATTAGGCACGGGCTACTCAACGTTGATGGTTTGTCGTTCGCAAAGATCTGGGATAGCAGTGGACCAAGAAAGAAGCTTTGTGGGACACCACTGGTGACTGTGTACCACGCAGATTGGGCCTATGAAACTCTCAATGAGAGGGATCTGGCTTTCAGGAAATCCTCCAGCCAGTGATGTGCGGACCCTGTGACCCTCAGAGCCCTGAGTTTAGTACGCAACCTGTCACGAGGTACTTCGTCGAACACTTCGCTGAAGTCAACGTAGATAACATCCGTACCATATCCCTCGTCCTTGCCTCTAAACCGACGCTCTCGAGAAAGCAGCAAATCGGTCATGCAAGAACTCTTCTGGCGGAATCCTTACACATCCATTGGTGCTGCTCAAGGTGCTCCGTGAGTCGTGACAGCATCAACCGTTCCATCGTCTTGCCGACAACCTATGTGAGGCTCAAAAGGCGGTAGTTACATGGTGCAGCTTTCGTTCCGCCATTGTAAATCGGGACCACAACCGCTTTCATCCACTCTTGGGGCAGTATTCCCGAGCGCATTGACGGGTTGAAAAGCCACGTAATTGAGGGGAGAGCTGTACAGCCAGTTCATTGAGCATGAGGGGATGAATACCATCCGAGCCTGGAGACGGACTTGTCTTGGTTGACTGGAGCACTCTTGTAACCTCCTTCTGCAAACTCGTCGAAGGTGAACATGGACGTGGTTCTGGCTGTTGCTGGTAAGGAGCCAGCATCTATCGTGTACACTGAGCGCTACTATGTGGTCAGTGTTTCCGCCTTGCCTTCGTCGGTATCAACCCTGTCAACTCCATCGATACCAGCTCCAGCTCTCGTTCGCCGATTTAGGTAAGCGTAGAGTCGTTTAGGAGCCTCCACGGAGTCAGCTGCCAGCTTCTCCTCGAAGGACCTCCACTCGGATCGTTTCAACTCCGTGCACTCGTTCTGTATTCTCCGACAGAAGTTGTAGCCTGCAACGGTGGCCCGAAAAGCTTGCCAAGATCGATTTGGGCGCCGGAGTAATCATCGAAGTTCAGGATCAAACCATGATGGCCCAAGTGTTCGCGGTCCACTGCAAGTTGCTGGGGCAAACGGATCAGTAAGGTGGAGGATACCGTACCGAATGCGGTCCCACATCAACTCTACGTTATTCACCTCAAAAGGGATCGGTGGGAGCCACGGCGGGGCCATGGCGGCCGCTCGTGCAGCGTCAAACTGTGTGCACCATACATGCAGGATGAATTATCTTCCCGCCATGAACATGATTTTCGCATATCTACACATATGACTCAAAACACGGAAATGTATACCACGTTCGTGTATAATGACCTTCAAGTCAAACACTCGTTGCGCTACATCGACCAATGATCCATTCAAACAACGGTATCTCGCAATCGGCCCCTCTGTAACCAAACTACTTTTATAACTACCACACCCTATTCCGACCATTCATCCTGCTTTATTTGAACATATTATCACTGTAACTTTACCCACTCGATCGTGCGCAATCTGCACGCTTCGCGATGTAAACCGAGAAATAATCTATTATTATTATTTTGACCTCTATGTAATCCCAGGGGTGCGTGGGTAGCAGTCCGCCAACGAATAGCCAATACCATATGGTCACTGCATCTTAGCGGAGAGTGTTGCCCGATCTGTTCTACTTCAGAACTCCTCGGCGATATCGCCAGATCTAGAATCGATCCCCACCCGCCCTGCGCCCGGCGCCGGGTCTGGTCAGTCTTGCAACCCAGTTAGGAGCGTTGAAGTCTCCGAGAATAAGGCATCGACTATCACCCGACCATCTACGCAGGGTTGTCAGGAGTTCGATGACGGCTGCCGCTGGGGTTTGATATAATACCCCTATGTTCACATATCCTCTGATGTTAACTTGGCGCGACACCAGACCAGTTCTCCGAAACATTGTGGGTCCGCATATGTTTCTAGTTGCACCGCAGGGACGCCAGATTGGACGAACAGTGCTACAACTCCACCAATCCGTCCAGGGTTTCTGTCGCATTAAAACATGGTATACCAAGGGAGAGCGACCTCCGAGTCCATAATGTTAGCGTTCAACCAGGTTTCAGTGAGCGCCACCACAGTTGGACTATGATTCTGCACCCTGATTTCCAACTCATCCCTCTTGCTCAAAAGGCCCATGATATTCGTCAGTATTGTATCGGATCCTCTTTGGTTTACTACAGACCTCCTCTCTGCCCCCAAATGCCTTACGCTGGAGTCGGTGTTAGAGACGCAATCAACAGGGGTCTCCACCGGAAGTAAGGGCGCCTCTTCTGCACACGAAAATCCCGAATAACCAAATTTGCTTCCCTATTTGAGTGACGCTCGTGTAGTTCGGAGAGTGCCTTAGTTGTTCCCTCTGAACAGAGTCTGAACACGTAGGATGTCTCACCTTCCGATTCTAGAACCACCTTTAGAGGCCAAGTAGAGCCAGCAGAGCCAATAGCGGGCTTCCCAAGGCCGAACGCTGACTTTACACAGATGTTTTTTTCCGAAGTTTCTTCTATCAAAGTCTCGCGCAGCAGGGATGGAAAAAGGCACAGAAACGAATCGGTTGAAACAACACATTAAAACATCTATCAGAGTACATGTTTTCAGCACAGAGTGACACAGTTGACTTCTGTGAGGATACTTGCGGTGGCTTCAGGGGCTTCGATCAGTAATAGATTATTTAGCTTATTTAGCTTATTTAGGCGTTGGTCGCTTTGATGTGGGACTGACTACACGCTAGGCACCTAACCTTAAAACACCATTTAGGCGAGGCAGAGGGTGCGTTTCTCAACCTCGTCCGGAATGCGGACGCATGTAGTCAAAGCGGGGATATAGCCGCGCCCAACAACCATTACCAGAGCCAAATTGTCCATTTCAGATGTAGATCCCAAGCCTTCGACAGGCCCAAGCCAACCAAATCTGTAACAAGAAAGAGAAACCGAGCAGTTTGGGATGATATTTGACTGGAGAGGGCAAGGGAAGTGGTAGAAAGAGACAACTGAGAATTCTAATCTAGGTGGGTAATTGGTGCTACAGTCAAATCCACTTCGCGCATTTTTGAAATGAAGAAGTGTAATATAAATGAGGGTAGATTCATCCTTGCAGGACAGAGGCAATATGGGGTCAGATAGAGTCCAGTGATGCGTAGTGGAGGCCGCTGTTAAATAGGTGACATCCTTTGTTAGAAGGATTCACCGAAATGGGGTCGAATCACCTTCTTGAGCTTTGAGAATCTCGAAGTGCACTGCATATTTGACAATATAAGATGAAACACAACTGCCGCCCCAGTATGTATCATAGATAGAGAAGAGGCGATTAGTGCCTATGGGTGGAAATTCTTGTCGAGGTGGGTAATTTGGGTGTTGTACTCTGAGAAGGCATTCACCATGGGTTGTCCCTTTCCAGATCTAAAGTTTTTGAGCTGAAGACGTTTACTATAACTGCGGGTGGATGAAGCCAAACAGGACACAGGTAATACCGGGACAGGTAAAGTTCAGTGACGAGTAGGAGGGGTCGAAGTTGAATTGGTGACGTGCTTTTTTACAGGGATTCACCGAAGTGGATCCGTTCCACTTCTCGAGCTTTGAGAATCTCAAAGTGTACTGTATATTGAACAACATAAAATGATGCGGTGTTCCTTGATCCAAAGTGTCACAGGGGTGCGAATCTGTTGGTGAGAATGAGCAGGTTATCCCTGATCAAGTCCGACTATACGACCCCATGGTTTGCCTCTGACCAGACCATGCTCTGAGCGGCAGCCAGGAGACATTCAGTATTGTTGCATCCATAACGTCAACACAGTTTCACCTGAGAGGGGGAATAGCATAGTCATAGTGGCACCGGATACTAGCCTGGTCACTTTTACCTAGCGGTGCATCTATGGCAGTGTTCTCGATGTCATTCCTGTTTTTGGTACACACAAGATCTAAGGTGCTGGGAGAGTAAACCAGGCGCCATCAGGTGGGATTGGTGACTTGCAAGGTGAGCGCTAATTTGTGCATCACCACCAATGGATCATCCACAAAGCTGCCCACTGGCGCACACTCTATCTCCCATTTGATCTCAGGTGCATTGAAATCCCTCAGGACGAGAACCCTACTCGCCGGAGTTGATGTATGCCGGAGAAAATAAATCAGTAACGCACTTTCGTCGATGCCTGTGCCTGGGCTACGATAAACACACAAGACTGCTAATCGTACTCCTGTGAGCTTGATTACACACCCGGCAGCCTGAATGTTCTCCATGCACAGTGTCCAAGGCTGTCTGAGGAACGTGGTCCGCTACAAATATTAGCGCACCCGTGCCTCGGGTTTTGAAGCTCTACAATGGTCGGCCTGGGTAGTAGGGTGCTAAGTGCCCATTGATCGCCCTGCCACTTCCCAAGTCGCAGCACTCGCTTGATTTACACCTCTGAGGGGATCTGAGCTAGCCGGATTGCGTTTCTTACCTGGTGTAGAAACAGTGACCTGCGGCTGCGCGTTTCTCGAGGAAACGGCTATAGGATGCCTCTGATAACAGCATTTCCGTTTCTTCCCAGGGCTGTGTTAGTTTGAGTCTCCAACCGATGCGGGTAGTCCCTTAGGCTCGTGGTTAGTTCCGATAACTTTGCGACGGCCTCCTCGTGAGCGTCCATGCGCGCATCAGTTGCCCCTTTCTCTGATGTCGTGTGAGACTGGATGGTCTTACTGTTTCCCTGTTTTTCTCCGGGGGCTGACATCCCAAGCACTGCGGTCGCCGATTTGTCAGTCAGTCAGTCAGTCAGTCAGTTTGCACAGGACAGATGGCCACGGCCAATCGAGCGTCCAGATTTCCTCCGGTAGTAAGCCACGTTCCGGCCCCTACCTTTTGCGAGTGTTGCATTTTGCAGTTCTACACGTTTTATTCACGTCTCAGTTGTCTCCGTCTGTGCAAGGGAAGAGAAGGTAAAAAATCTTTCCCCTTGTTCAGGCGAGAGGCCTCACGGTTTGAAGCGTTCCCCGGATGGGGGTGGTTAGTAAACGAAAAACCCACCCCTGTTTCCAGGCCTCAACCTATGCGTCTACTTCGGAAAATAAAGTCAATCAGCGCTTATCGGGCTCCTTCTTGAAAGCATATACGCTCCCTAGCTCTACCAGCTCCTGTGGCAACTTATTCCACGCGTTGACTACCCTATTGCTGAAGAAGTTCGAATGCACCGCTAGTCTCGTACGCAATTTCTTCAGCTTGTACATATGCCCCTAGAATTGCTTTGCATTCTCTCGAAGAACGCCGCTTGATTCATCCCATTCATAATTTTGAATGTCTCAATCGAGTCACCTCGTAGGCTTCTTCTTACTAAGGAGAATAGCCCAAGATCCTGCAGTCTCTGCTTATATGACTTGTTTCGTTGTCTTTTGATCATACTCGTGGCTAATCTTTGGACCCTTTCGAGACAGTCGGCGTCCTTTTTGAAGAAGGGAGCCCAGGCTTGTATACAATACTCTAAATGCGGTCGAACAACGGCTTTATACAGGGGTACGAATACCTCCGGTTGCCTACATGATAGTGCCAACCTCAATCTAAAAAGCTCTCTGCGGGCACGACGCGCCGCTGCGGCACACTGATCCGCCCATTTATAGTCCGCAGCCACTATGATTCCTAAATCCCTAGCTTTCTGAGTCGTTCCTAGAGACAGACCGCTATGACTACCCCCCACTATCAGCCCTTCATCTCCAGTGGTCAGATCATGACAGTTCCGCTCTCCATTTGATCCTATAACCCTGACGGCGTCAGCAAATAGGTAGCTAGGCGAGCCAAGGTGTTCAGGAAGATCGTTGAGGTAGAGCAAGAAGAGGAGTGGCCCTAGAACACTCCCTTGAGGGACAACACTAGCAGTAGCTTCCACTGGTGAGTTAGCTTCTTCGACCCGCACCTGGAAGGTCCGATCGGTCAAGAAATCCGTTAACCACTTGTGAATGTTACCACTTATCCCAAGAGCATCTATCTTGGCCAGCAG